TGTCCGATCTGCACTGCCCAGGGGGTTGGGCTTGATTGGCCTTAAAGGCCCCTTCCAACTCCATTATTCTGTGAGTCTATGAAGCATCATCTTCCTCACCAGACACATCCCTAAGGGACTTACAGCGAAAAACCCTTCATGATCCTCGTACAATGTGAGATTATGCAACACTCTCTCCAAAGAATTTATTAACCACCTAATCGGCATCCTATACACAGCAAACAAAGGAAAATCCAGAAGACTATTGAGCCACATAAATGGAACAAGCCATCGGCACTGAACAGTACTCAAGTAGTCTCCACCCCAGGAACAAACGTCACTGATGCACATCACAGAACGGTGGTTTTGTTTCTACATAGAGCATTTCGTTCACAGCCAAGCCAAGCCAATGGGGACAAGTGGGTGGATGGGTGTGAATGGCAGTGGGGTTTATGAACCCAGAAAATGTCAGGTGCACCTTTCTCAGTGGAGACTCTCCCATCTTCTTTCCACCTAACAGGACCTCCTCCAAGACTCAGCCAATGACAAAGGCCCCAGGCGGCTTGACCCCCTTGCTGGGAATCGGGGGCGGTGTTGACCATCATACTCAAGGCGGTCGCAGCCAGCAGACGGGTGTCCTTGCAGGCTGTCTGAGATCGTCAAGGGAGAAGGGAACATTTTATTTTTTAATTTTTTTATTTACAATATTTTTTAGCCGCACCATTGCCAGTGGCTTCTGGATGAGTTCATCCACAAAGCAATACAGTCGTGCCTCACTTTACGATTGCCCCGCGTTACGACAAAATCGAATTACGATGATGGTCTAAATGGGGTTTTTTCGCTTTGCGATGATCGGTTCCCTGCTTCGGAAACCAATTCTTCGCAAAATGGTGTTTTTTAAACAGCTGATCAGCGGTTTCAAAATGGCTGTCGGGTAAACAAAATGGCTCCCCGCTGTTTTCTGGGACGGATTCCTCGCAAGACACGCAGCGAAAATAGTTGCCCTATAGAGGATTTTCGCTGGACGGTGAGTTTTGACCCCATTGGAACGCTTTGAAGGGGTTTCAATGCGTTTCAATAAGGTTTTTTTTTCGCATTACAATGTTTTCGCTTAACGGAGATTTTCTTGGAACGGATCATCGCCGTTAAGTGAGGCACCACTGTATACCAACTTGACTAGTGGGAACTGAAAAAAAAATGTTGCAGCTTGGGGGTCCTATTCTTTAAATGCCCAGCTCTTCGGTTTCAGCAGTCGGTTGGATTTCACGGCCACCGAACATGCTCAGCACACCTGAGATGGTTTTAGAGACCTTTCCCCACCACTCAGAGAATCTCCTACCCCCAAAATCTTTTCTGCACTTGTCCAAACTTTGAGATTCTGTCTTATGGTCTTGGAGCAGCCCGTTTGCATGCATTCTTTCATGCATTTCTAGATTGAACTCAACACAGCCCGAAAGACGATAGGGACGATGATTTTTAAAAACTTTACCCAAGATTTAAAAAAATCAGGGCACCCTTGAAACAGAAGCCAAAAATAACAACTCACCTTTTCCATAATGATTTGCACCAGAGATTCCAAAATCTTTTGCAAGATTTTGTTATGATCTGTTCCACCCCATATAAGTGGGAAGATCTCCTTTGGCATCCACTTGAAAAGCTGGAGACATACCTAGACGGCCAATGACAAGGCTAAACGTATCACGTGATTCAATTTAATCTCTTCCCACAGAGCACTCAGATGTACGTTTAACCTGAGCACACTCCCGCCATATTTATTTGTAACTGTATGCAACTGCAACACCATTTTCCTATTAAAAGCAAAAGAACTTGGAATATAAGCTTTTGATCATATTCTAAAATGGATATATTCAGAAATTATAAGACTTAATCTAGTAGGAAATTGTTTCATGCTCAAAGCTTGCATTTTCAAATAATCTTCAGGGTCTATTTAAAAACCTGTGGATTTGTGGCAAAACAAGTAAGTGCTTCTAACTCGACCCTGATGTTGGAAGAGTGTGAAGGCAAGAGGAGAAGGGGACGTCAGAGGACGAGATGGTTGGACAGTGTGATTGAAGCAGCGAACATGAATTTGAGACAACTCCGGGAGGCAGTGGAAGAGAGGAGGGCCTGGCGTGCTCTGGTCCATGGGGTCACGAAGAGTCGGACACGACTTAACAACTAAACAACAAAACTTGAAACACGCTTCTCCCTGTCATTTGAGTTGGTATGATCTAGTTTGTCCTGGGGAGGACTTACCTAAAGTCACAATAAGAATTAAAATGGAAGCAGTGACCAAATGCAACTCAAACGATCCAGTTTGTCTTGGGGAAGACTTACCTAAAGTCACGCTCGTCACAATAAGAATAAAAATGGAAGCAGTGACCAAATGCAACTCAACAATCTCTATTTCAAAATAGCACAAAAGAGGTCAAGAAGCAGCCTAAAGGTGAAATCAGTCAAACTGTCATGGCATCAAGGAGAAACAAAGTGACTTAATATGATTTTTATGCTGTTACACTCATTTATGGAACCTGTCAAGGCAGAACTATGTATAATTTGCACCTACAGAGCCACCAAAGGAAGGAAGCTAAAAATGCATGCAAGAATTAAAAACGATAAGCCCAAATCTTAATGATCTTGGTGTGCCATGGCTAACTGCACCCAACTGATGAGGTGCTGGGTCATGTCTTAATTTCATGACTGAAATTTCATGCGCCCTGCTATGCCACCCGAATGCACCCAGGTATGTCATCAATTATCCACAATTAAGCTCGGCAAATTATAGCTGTTAGCTTGCTGAAATGTACTGTCAATTAGATTTATTCTTCTTCAAAAGTGCACATAAACAAAATGAAGCAAACAGAACTTACAAAGCGATACTCACATACATAAATGTAAAAAAACAGACAACATTCACAGAAAAAAAACAGAACTTCCTTATTCTTTGGAAGAGGAATTTTCAACATGCACCCACAGCATCTTCTCTGACATTAAAGGTGCGTAACATTACACTGTAAAGCACGGTGGAGCTGTCTCTGTTTCTTACCTTCACGGTGACGTAGCACCATGCCTCATCCTTGGCTCCTCGACCCTGCAGCAGGAAATCAAAGGTGGCAGCAGTACACCCGAGGAGCGTCATCAGGTTATTTTTCCAGTAACATCGTCCCAGGGTGCTCTCCTCAACAAACATGGAAACTGTGGATCAAGAAAGCAAAGAGCTACCACTATTGCCCCACTTCAGGACGGAAGGAGTTGTGTGTATGACGCACTAGACCAGACATTCTCAACTTGGGTTCCCTCCAGATGTTCTTGGACTACAACTCCCAGAAATCCTGGCCAGGACAGCTAGTGGTGAAGGTTTCTGGGAGTTTTAGTCCAAGAACATCTGGGGACCCAAGGTCGAGAATCACTGTACTAGAGAGAGGTACAATATACATACAGTAGTACCTCGGTTTGCGAATGCCTCCGTTTACATAATTTTTGGTTTACGAACCAAAATCCATAAGAAATAAAGCCCCAGTTTATGTTCTTTTCTTTTCGCACTACGAAAAGGTTTTCCCAGGGCACACTGCGCCTATAGCATGCTGCCCCGTTCTTAGCACAATTGCTGTTTCGGTTTGTGAAATGTCTGTACTACGTAACGTCGTGTAGAACGGATCCCGTTTCACAAACCGAGGTACTACCGTATACGTTCACATACACACATGCAGATACTTTTAAAAGCCTGTTTAGAAGAAAAAGTGCTGCTCCTGGATGCACATCTCCACCGATGGCTCCCGGACTGCTCAAGCAGAGGGAAGGAAGCGCCTGGCTGGTTTGGTTCTGTGGAGGGGGGGCCCTGCCAGTGGCGCTGAGCGTAATGGGGCAGAAGGAGGTCTCCACCACCTTGCCAGGGAGGAGGGGATTCAGAGACTCACCTGTCTGCAGAGTCCCACGAGACATTGGCTGAAAGGAGAAAGAAAGGAGCACAATGAGGGAGAAGCAGAGTCGAACATCATAACCCGTGCAGACCTCCCCTTTTCCGGAATATCCGATTCCACAACCTCCACTTTTCCATTCCAGTGAAGCAATCAATTTCAAAGCACCGAGCATGCTCAGTTCTCACCGAGTTGCTGTTGGGGTCTGCTCCTTAGGATCCCCCTCCCCTGCCAATCGGTGGTTTGGGGTTTTTTTTGTATTTCTCCAAACCTCAGAGTTTTCCAAAGCATTCCGATGCTTCCCTTTTTTCTGTGCAGCATCCTGATGCGTGATCAGATGCATGATCAGCACCCAAATATGGTCTAAGAGCTAGAATGCAACCCTGGAATTTGGAAAATCCAGATTCTAGTCCTCACAGAGGCATGAAACTCATCGGGTTAACTTTGGGCCTCTTCCTTCCTTCCTTCCTTCCTTCCTTGCTCTCTCTCTCTTCCTCTCTCCCTCTCTCAGCCTGACTAACTTGCAGTGGGAAAAAAGAGAACCAGGTGCACTACCTTGAGTTCATTCAACAAATACAGGATATAAACATGAAATGTAACATGGGATCACAAAAAAATCACATTTATGTGGTCAACAGAATGCAAAGAAATCACTATTAATGTACATATAATCATGAAACGTTTCCATGAAAAGTTTCCATGAAACCAATCCTTTTCAGTGAAATACACAATAATTGTGTGCTGTCAAGTCAATTCTGACTTATGGCAACCCTTTCCAGATTTTCCTCGGTAGAGAATGAGCAGGAGTGGTTTCCCATTCCTTTATTCTGGGGCGCCCTGGGACTGTGCAGCTGGCCCAAGGCCACCCAGGCTGGATCTACTTATAGGAAACACAGTGGGAATCAAACTCCCAACCTCGGGCTTCCCAGCCAGAGACTTAAGACACGGAGTGGTCGAGCCAACTTCAGAGAAATATATTCATTCATTCATTTATTTGCAATATTTTTTAGCCATCTTTGCCGTCTTACCGTATCGTCCTTGGCCAGGCTACCCAAAATCCTCTCCACCTCTCCAGAAACTAAGGATTCATTCCTTTCTGATAGTTTCACAATGATCTAGGGAAGAGGAAGAAACAGAAGCGTGGCTTTTAAAAATGCTCACATTTAGCTGACACTGAATTACTAAGTATAACGTTCCGACTTATAAGTACATGAATCCACCCATAACCTACGTTTTATATGGAGAAGTCTCTTTAAATATTTGAAAGACCAAAACAGTCAAGTTAAAATCAGTTAAATGTCTCTTTTCTTTCTTTTTCAGCCTAGCATCTGAAAGAAAAGTATTTAATTATTAAGTAAACTGTAACCAGCAGTGACGCAATAACTTTCAAAGCATAGTTGCTCACTATGATAGTCCACAGAGCCAGTTCCCTTCCCAAAAAGAGTCCAGGAATGCTGCATCGGTCCATATCAACCCATTTTGAGCCAATCTTTTATAAAGTCAACGGCTCTTGATCACCCATTTAAGTGATAGGAGATTTGCACCCATTTAAGTGCAAATCACCTATAAACACATTGCCCTGACAACACGGACGGCTTGCAATTACAGTGGTGCCTCGCATTACGACATTAATTCGTTCCAGCAAAATCGCTGTAGAACGAAAATGTCATAAAGCGAAAATTAAAAAGCCATTGAAACGCATTAAAACCTGGTTAATGCGTTCCAATTGGCTAAGAACTCACCGTCCAGTGAAGATCCTCCATGGGGCGGCCATTTTCGGGTGCCTGTGCAGCGAAAAATGGCTCCTAAACACAGCGGGGAGCCATTTTGAGCACCTGGCGGCCATTTTGGCATTTTGTTTTGATCGTTAGGAAGCGAAAATCAGTTCCCAAAACAGGGAAGCGTTCCTCGTGCAGCGAAATTCCCCCATTCAAAACATTGTTTTGCGATCACAAAAACCTCGTCGTAATGCGGATTCGTCGTTAAATGGAGCGCCCATCTTGCGAGGCACCACTGTATATGTTACTTTTGGAAAATCAATTTTTCTCTTCCAGTTACTAAAAGGTTCTTGTAGTGGGGAGCCCCCCCCCGAAGACCAGGCATGGGCGTGTGTGGCTCCTGGACTCACAGTGATCATTCAATCGGATTTCCGAGGTGCAAGCAGACAGAATATTACCATGTCGTTTCTGTAAGCAGAAATTCAGAGGCGTGTTGCTTCTGACACAGCCACCCACCAAGACTACCAACCATCCCCAAACCTTATTCTCCAAGAAGGATTAAAACCACCTAAACGGCTTCTTGTCACCCCCATTTTGTGGCAGGGAGTTCCACCGCCGATCTAGGCATTATGCAACCCGGGAATCCAACCTGAGAGCACACACTTTTTCGAGTCGGGAGAAAGAGCCGGAGCTATCCGTGGTCTCCAGCTGGAAAGCGAGGACGCAGCGGACCAGCGGGCGCAGGGCATCATCACAACCCAGGTCTGCCAATCTTCCGCTCACTCCGGCCAGGAGCTGAAAAGCCTCCTCCAAGTTTTTATCCTTCCACCGCTTTGCCGAGACGCTGAAGAAGATGAGAAAACAGAGAGACATTCAAGGGGGGGGGCACCCAAGTGACTTTAAAATGCATTTTAAAAGCCGCCCAGAGACCTTTGGGTAGCGTGGGGAGAATATTAAATAAATAAATAAATAAATAAATAAATAAATAAATAAATAAATAAATAAATAAATACAAGACTCAAGCCGCTGGAAACGGGGCGCGCACCCGTCACTCAACCGAACTTGACTCTGCCATGGCTTATGTTGATGATAACCATGCTAGCTATCATCATCACAACATTGCCACCCCACCCCTCCCCACCCCCCAAAACCAGCTGATTTTGCAAACCACTGTTCATTCTCCCTGCTACCAAGGAAGGTGGGCAACCACCCGGCCAAGCCCGCCTTGCAACCGATGAGGGGGAGGATGATGGCCAGGACTGCATTACTGCACGTGCAACCTCGGCACCCGAACCGACCTGGCGAACGCCTCCAGCTTGCCCAAGGCGAGGAGCAAACCTTGGCAGGCGCTGCTCTTCCCCTCGTCCCGGGCCAGCTCCCGGTAGCAGGCCACGGCCCGCTCCAGCTCGCCTCCCGCCCCATTCATGGTCCCCCGGGCTGAGCCCGACTCGCGAGGAGAACCCTTGCCGGACGGCGCCGCCCCCCCTCCTTCGCCTGCCCGCGACCATAGAGTGCCAGGCGGAGGAGAAAGAGCGCCCCGCCCGCCGCCGCCGCCGCCGCCGAGGAAGGGTTCCTGCGCGGAAGGCACGCCGGCGCCACCTAGCGGTTTCGTTGTTGTCCTCGGCTTTTGTTGCGTTGCTAAGGGCCCGTGGTTGCCATGGGCCCCAATGGGTCCTCTGATAGGACAGTGGTTTGAGGATGATCCTGTGCAAAAATCATGAGGATCTTGTGCCTTAGATCCACGTTCTTGTGCTACTGCAAAGCCATGCACTCATGGGCGCCTAATTGCTGTGATCTAGTCTGTGGGCAGCGGCTAGTAAATGCAAGCCTGTGGCTTCCTTGAGGGAGTCAGTCCATCTCATATCTGGTCTTCCTCTTTTCCTGCTGCTTTCCACCATCCCCAGCATTCTTCACTTTTCCAGATAATCCTGTCTTCTCATGGTGTGCCCGAAGTAGACAGCCTTAAAGACTTAACTGCTGTACAGTGGTGCCTCGCTAGACGATGATAATCCGTTCCACTGAAATCGCTGTTTAGCGAAATCATCGTCTAGCGAAAAGCATTGCCCCATGGGAATGCATTGAAACCGGTTTAATGCGTTCCAATGGGGAAGAATCGTCGTTGTCTAGCGAAGATCAGCCATAGGAAAGCCGCTTTGCAAACCGCCAATCAGGTGTTTAAATAGCTGTCTTGCAAAGCTTAGGTCCCGAAAACTCCCGTTTTGCGAGTGCGGAGGAAGCTGTCAAAATCGTCGTCTAGTGAAAATCGGTGTGTGAAGCAGGGACCAAACATTGTCCAGCGAAATTCCCCCCATAGGAATCAGTTTTGTGAATTGCTATAGCGATCGCAAAAAGTCAATGTCTAGCAAAAAAACTGTCATGTGGTGTAACTGTCTAGCGAGGCACCACTGTATTTTGCAGTTAACTGTGATTGTTACACAGTTAGTCTTTAAGGCTTATACAATGTGTTTGTATTCTTTATTTTTCTTTTGTTTTTTGCCTGATAAGCTAACACTGGTGCAACTTCAGTCTGACTTGACAGTCTGCACGATCATGCTATCTATGCATGATGACCAAATCAAGATGTCGTCAAGGATGCGGCCTCAACTTCGTACGCCAGCGTGGCTTGTTTTGATCGGCTGAAAGCCGTGTGTAGGATAACGTGGCTTCTCCAGTGCCTCTCAAGCCCCCAAACCAGATTTCTTCTTGGTTCTTGAAAACGGTAGGCGGGAAGGTTTAACAGAATAAAGGTCTTGAGGGAAGACAGGCTTTCCAGAAGCTTCTTGCGGGTGCGGCAAAGAGGGAGAGCTCAGATAGCAACCCCCCCAATATAAGAATACAAATGCAATCCTATTTTTCATCAATACAGTGGACCCTCTACTTAAGGAATTAATCCGTATTGGAATGGTGGCTGCAAGTCAAAAAGTCTGTAAGTCGAGCCGTCTGTAAGTCGAGGGTCCACTGTAAAATATTGGGAACGTATGAGGAAGATGGGGGGGGACAGCCGTTTAGAAACAGGAGCAAGAGGGCTATATAACTCAGGGGGTAAATTATGATTCGAGATGAGCATGAACTGCGAACCGGGCTGGTTTGTGGTTTGGTTTGGGGACCCTGTTTCGCCCAAAGGGTAAACTTTCTCCCCCTCTGCACTTCGTTTTGCTTTGGCGAAATGGGATGCCCGCCCTTCCCTCTGCCCCCCTCTTACCTCCCTCCCTCCTCTCGATCCTGCCCATCCTGAAGGGCAGCAGGCCTGGCTCCTGCATGAACTTTTCCACCCCAGCACGAACCCGAAAAACGAGCCCCAAACTAGTTGGTTTTCCAGGGGGTTCATGATAGTTCGTGGCTCGTGGGTAGCCACTAACCACGAACCATCACAAACCACTCATTTTCTGGCCCGTGCCCATCTCTGATGAGGACGCAAAGCTTTGCTCTGCACAAGCTAAGCACAGGGGCCCTCCCCAATTCTGTAAATCGATAGTTTTCTTCTAGTAGGTACAATATTCTGTATGTTTGTGCTTCCTTGATCACAACGGCTCCTCTGCATAGAATTTGTAGCGAAGGCTATAACCCAAAGTACAGTTTTAAAAAAAGATCTGGCCGTGGTTTAAGGCAAGATAACTCCTTCCTGGTGAACTTTCCTCATTCTTACTGCTGTTACGTACTTGCATTCTCTCTCGTCTTGGCTCTTTCACTGAGCAGTGTTGCCCAGGATGCGTGTTGTTGGGATTTTTACAACCTTACATGCTGCCTTTAGTAGGTGTGGGTGGGAGGGACCTTTCTGGGCTGGAGTGACTGTCAATCAATCCAGCACTAACCAATCGTTCCTTCGCTGCCTCTTAATTCAAAGAGAGCCCTGCTTCTCTGCTTGGTGTTTTCCCCACTCTCTCTAGCACTTCTTTCGCTATTTATTTGGTCCAAAAGTCTTGCACCTCTACAAGGAATATGGACAGAAACCTTGCCATGTTCTCTCTGTCCCCAGCATCCCTACACTGCTAGCTGGCTCGACCCCTGTCATTCCACAGTGCCTCCGTTGCTAAAGGTAAAAAATATATATATGCTTTATTTCCCCTGCTTCTGAAACCTACCAGTTATTCGCTGAAACCCTGTGGCTTAGTGTGAGAAAAACTGTAATTTTTAAGTTGCTTCTGCCTGGCAACGGCTGCACTTCTCATAGGGGTGCACGCATGCACCAAGCCAGTATGGGAGTATGCCCCAGGGAATTGCAGCGGGAACTCTGTATTTGATGGGTGGGAACAAAGTGAAAGTTAATGCTTTTTCTTAGATGATGTGACAGGATTGAAGCCCATGTTCCTTTCTTGAAAGGGATGTAATCACATATGAGTCAACATCTCCTGGTGGCTAGTGGAACATTTGCACTAACTGCGGATAAAAGGCAAAGGAAGGATAGAAACATTCTATGCTTATAAAATCTAAGACAAGAAGCGCCTGTGCTCCAGAATGAAGGATTTGAATGCCCAGATAGGAAAAAAAAGCACCAAGAGATTTTATTGGGAAGTATGGAGTGGTGGCGCTGCGGACTAAACCGCAGAAGCCTGTGCTGCAGGGTCAGAAGACCAGCAGTCGTAAGATCGAATCCACGTGATGGAGTGAGCGCTCGTTGCTTGTACCAGCTCCCGCCAACCTAGCGGTTCGAAAGGATGCAAATGCAAGTAGATAAATAGTATTGAGTTTAAATGCGGGGCCATAAGTTTTTGGTGGACTTTTTAATTGCTGAGAGAAAACGGGGTATCTATATTTGGATGGTGAAAGTTGTGTATATTTTAACTTTTTTTTTTGTAGTGTTGTCCAGTTTTACCTTGGGGAAGAGCACCTCATTTCGTTGCACCCACTTGTGAGCGCAATGACAAATAAATTTCTTATGTCTTATGTCTTATGTCTTAAAATAGGGACCACCTCGGTGGGAAGGTAGCAGCGTTCCGTGTCTAGTCACGCTGGCCATGTGACCACGGAAGATTGTCTTCGGACAAAAATGCTGGCTCTATGGCTTGGAAACGAGGATGAGTACCGCCCCCTAGAGTCGAACACGACTGGACAAAAATTGTCAAGGGGAACCTTTACCTTTACCTTTATGGAGTGGGTCAATGCAGGGAACTCAAGGGAGCACGCGAAGAATCGCCGAGAGTCCCCAGCCCTCCTGTTCCTGGGGTGGTGGGGGTGTCAAAGCCTCTCTGAAAGCTCTTGAGGGCCGGTCTAGAAAGGAGAGACAGAGATGGTCTTGGGAGCGCCAGCGGCTCACCGTCTCTTCCTGAAAGTCTCCAAAGCGTTACAGGGGGCGTCTACCTCCTCTACGGGCTCATGGTGCTCCTCGGGTGTCAGGAAGGGCCACCTCCTCAGCCACACAGTCTGGCCAGGCTCACCACAAGCAGGGGCCGCTTTTTTTGCCAGGCCAACAACTCCTCTGAGAGGGCATCCCGATGAAGTCACCGAACACAGCTGGTGTGTAGGGTGGCAGAGGGGAAGGGGACCCAGGGATCCCTCCTCCCTCTCTATCAGGAGGGATGCGTCAGGGGAGGGGGCGCCTCTCAGCCTGGCCTCTCCCCTGCAGCTTTGATGGGACTCCTTATGAGCCATTCGGCTCATAACTAGCCATGCTCTGAATAATGAGCAATACAGTGGTGCCTCGCATAGCGGGGTTAATCCGTTCCGGATTAACCTTCGCTATAGCGAAACATCGCTAAACGGAAATAAAAAAGCCATAGAAACGCATTGAACTTAGTTCAATGCGTTCCTATGGCTTTAAGACCCACCGTTAAGCGATCTTCCTCCATAGCGCCGCCATTTTCGCGCCCTCGCTAAGCGAGGGCAGGGTGCGAAAATGCAGCGCGGACCTTCCGGCAGCCATTTTGGAACCGCCGATCAGCTGTTCTCCCCCGCTTCGTTATGCGATATTCGCTAAGCAAATCGCTTAGCGCATATTGCAAAGCGAAAAAACACCATAGGGGCCATCACTGAGCGAATGCTCCAGCGATGGCCCAGAGCCCCTCGTTAAGCGATTTAATCGCTCAACGGAGCGCTCGTTAAGCGAGGCACCACTGTATAACAAAGTCATGATAAACTAAAATAAGAAGCATTTGCAAAGTTATTTTTTGGCACAAACAGTTCCTTTTAAAAGACATCTTAATAGGGATTTTCCAGGGATATGACATTCTTCTAAACCTGTTTACCAAGTATTGCATTTTGTCTTTATGTAAATATTTGTAAAAATACAATATCAGACCCGGCCACAAGAGACTATATTTCTGGTTTATTTGATGCTACTAACAATATTTCAACATATGAACATATAAGCTATATAAATAAATAATTAGATGCTACTAACAATATTTCAACATAGGAACATATAAGCTAAATAAATAAATAAATAGATGCTACTAACAATGTTTCAACATATGAACATATAAGCTAAATAAATAAATAAGAAATAATATATATAATGCCGCTGGAACACATTGGAGAATCAGAGGAGGGATGTGGCAGAAGA